GACTAAGTATGAAGTAAACAAAGTAAATGAGTAATAAGTGATCAGAGATCAATATTTTTAGGATTTGATCATTTTCGAGTCTTAGTCGGATTAGTCTTGTGATAAGATGATAAGGTGATAAACTGATAAGGTGATAAACTGATAAGGTGATAAGCGGATAAGGTGATAAGCGGATAAAGTGATAAGATCAGTAAATTGGCAGTGTCACTAGTGAGGGACTGACATTACAGCAAACACAATAAACTGATAAGGTGATAAGATGATAATCGGATAAAGTGATAAACTGATAAGGTGATAAGCTGATAATCTGATAAAGTGATAAGATCAGTTAATTGGCAGTTTTACTAGTGAAGGACTGACATTACAGCACGCACATATAGTAGTAGTAGTAATAGTAAGAGTAATACATAGTATGGTACAAGGATGAGTATGAGAGTAACATTCGATGAAAAAATACAGAAATTTTTGAGGGGGTCATCTGAATTTTTTGGGTGACCTGAAACTGGTGGGGAGTATAGGGGAGATATCCTGAAATATTTCTGGGGAGGGGAGAAGTGGTCATCCAATTTCAGAAGGGAAGTTTTTCTCATTTTTACACAGGGTGTGGCTAACTAGCTAGTGAAATTTTGAATTTTGGAGGGGAGATAACTTGAATTTTTTTTCGTCAAAGGGGGGAGCTGACCTGAAATTGAGGAACTTGGAATATTTCCGGGTTCACACTACAACGTACAGAGTGCAAACTACAAACTACAAACTCCAAACTACGAACTACGCGCCTCGTTGTCCAATCGATTCATCAGATCATGCCAAAAGCACCGTTTCATGCTGTCAAATCGATCGTAACAACTCACGTAACTCACGTCCAACTGCGTCACATTCCCAGGTCTCTGATCGCAGAACACCAGACATTTCGAACCGGCCAGCGTTGTCGTTACACCTTTAAAACAAATTCGTACCGTAATTTGTACCGTACCCTAGCATATAGTACTGTATTCTACCGTATCATACCGTATTCTTTAGCCATTTCGTACCGTATCGTACTGTATCCTACCGTATCGTACAGTACTGTCATACCGTATTCTTTGATCATACCATACCGTACCGTATCGCACTGCATTCTACCGTAGCATACCGTATTGTCATACCATACACTTTGTTCGTACCGTACCGTATCGTACTGTACTCTACCGTACCATACAGTACTGTCATACCATATTCTTTTGCCATACTGTACCGTAACGTACTACCGTATCATAGCGCACTGTGTTCTACCGTACCATGTCTTACTGTATTCTACCTTATCGTACCGTCTATCATACCGTATTCTTCGTTATTACCATACCGTATCGTACTGTATTCTACCATATCCTACCATATTCTTTGGCCATACCTCATCGTACCGTACTGTATTCTACCGTACCGTACAGCATTGTCATACCGTATCCTTGTGTCATACTGTGCCCTACCGTACTCCCTACCGTATCCTGCCGTATCGTATTTCATGTTTCTATAGAAGTCACCAACCGTTTCTTGCGCAGCACTCTCGATGATCACGGCCTTGCGCTGCACAGAACTGGATTTCGGCTGAGGCTTGAACTGGACACGCGTCTTGCTTCAGATACATTCTCAGTAACTGAAATTTGATAAAGACTGATAAGACTGATAAAGTAATAAAACTGATAAGGTGATAACACTGATAAGACTGATAAAATGATAACGCTGCTAAATAATTTACCGACTGCTTCGTGAACGTATTGAATGTACACTTTTGAAGGCAAGCATCGGGCAGACCGCGCTCCTCACAGCATCGCATAAACACCTGATTTGGACTCTGCAAAAACACCCAAATGACCTCGTTTGTGGCTTAAAACCTCACGGTAAAAAATTACCTCGGTACAGCTGGTTAAAAAACCCGCTGGGAACCCACTGGGAACCGACGGGCAAAAAAATTACCTTAGGTTTTTCCTCCTCTTCAGTCGCCGACCAACCTGGTTGACCTGCAGCCACCATTGTGTTCGAGCTACGAGCCCGGGCACGGCGCAGGGCGCAGCCATAGGGACCGCATTGGTAGCCCGGTGGGCAGCCCCCGGCCGCACACATGCCCATCGTGGGTTGGGCGTGCATACAGCCCAGGCCACCAAGACCCGGTGGACCGCAAATACCACTGGCTAGGCACTGAAATTTGACAAAAATTTGAAAAATTTTGAAAAAATTCTGAAAATTTTTGAGAAATTATGGTACCATAACTGGGCAGAAGTTATTTCAGGACCAATTCATGTTTATAGAACCATATTTCAGGTTATTTTTTAAAAAAATGTGACCATATAGGAATGTGGCTTACCGCTTCAGTTTCTGCAATGAAATAAGCGGCCAAAATCAGTAAATAACACGCCAACGACAACTGTGGCATAATCCTTCTAGACTCCATAATTCAGTTGATTTGTCGACGCGCGTAACCTGAAATTTGGTACCTCTGACCTGAAATCCAGACACGAGTTGAGCTCATGCACACACCTCAAAGCTCAACCAAGTCTATTTGCCCAACTGAATTGCCTCCATGGATGGAGTGTCGTCATTTAAATGGCTCTATAAAAATAACGAGGTCATCCGCAGATCAACCGCCCAGATCATGGCCGATCAGATTAGTCGATTGATCGGATTGATCGGCCATGATCTGATCACAACATTTCACTTTTCCAATACAAACATCAGATCATCTCTGATCAGTAATAAAACTCGCGCAAATCCATCGAAACTAGGTTAATCTCCTCGATTTGTATTTTCGATTTTAAAATTTTTTCCACTGCTCAGTTTCCATCAAATACAATTTTATCAATACAATTTTAACACAAAAGTAATTGAAGTAAAGTAATAAAGTAATAAAAGTAAGTAAAGTAAATAAGTAAGTAATAATAAGTAAGTAAGTAAAGAGTAAAGTAATAATAAAAGTAATTGCAGTGTCAAATCTAAATGAAATGCATAGGAATTGATAGTTTTGTTATGCTGACAAACGCCTAAAAGTTGAGTTGTAAATACAGTCAAAAGTAATCTATAGAGTAACTAGTCCAGTAACTTGTACAGTAACTTGTACAGTAACTAATACAGTAACTTGTACAGTAACTAGTAAAGTAACTTGTACAGTAACTTATACAGTAACTTGTACAGTAACTAGTAAAGTAACTTGTACAGTATCTAATAAAGTAACTTGTACATTAACTAATGCAGTAACTTGTACAGTAACTTATACAGTAACTTGTACAGTAACTTGTACAGTAACTAATACAGTAACAAATACAGTCTCGCTTACAGTCTGAATAGAAAATTATTGAAGTTTGTATATTATATAATATTAAGTAATGTACTATTAAGTACATCTATATAAAGTATTATATTAAGTATACTATTTATATTACAGAATATAAAGTACTGCTATATTACTACTATACTATTAATACAAATTATACTATTTAAGATTTAAGTAGTATCTTCTTTTGAGTACTACCTAGCTGTACAGTAACTAGTAAAGTAACTTGTACAGTAACTAACAGTAACTAGTACAGTAACTTGTACAGAACCTAATACAGTAACTAATACAGTAAGTAATACAGTAATTAATACAGTAACAAATACAGTCTAAGTAAAAAATTCTGACTACTGCCTATAAAAGTAAACCCAAAAATTTTGACACAAGTCCTATAAAATGACCATATTAGATCACAACTTTCCATTTCATCCGATAGAGAGCTGCTTTTATAGGTCTCTCTCTCCTTTTACAGCTACCTACCCACCCTCGGTCCAACCCCTTCTTTAATCTTTTGAATAGTTATGAATCACTCACAAACGGGGCGGATCACATTTGGGAGTGATTTTATAAAATTTAGTATCGTTTAAACGATTTGAAAGTTAATTAGTAAGAGAAATTAAGAATTTAAATATTATAGAATAAAATATGGGAGGAGAGCAGTGAAGTGATTTGGATCATGCAAAATGGATCATGGAAAGTGCTTGTACTGTATAGGGCAGGTACTGTATACAGTAAGCGTACTGTATACAATAGAAACTGTGTAATAGTTATAGATGTTTTGCAGGAGTAGTCATTCGGTAAGGCAGTTATAATAGTAATAGTAATAGTAATAATAATAATAATAATAATAATAATAATAATAA